GGTTTATACCTTCCATGAAGATATTTTAGGAGCTGGGCCAGGGCTCCTAACCTACTCCTGCTCTTCCTGCCTCCTAGTAGTGGTGTGGTGTATACAGGGCTCAAATTCAGCTCTAAGGCTGTCTGTTAAATTCTCATTTTCATCTCTAAGTGTCTTTACATACTGGGCTCAGGAGCAAGAAACTTCTTGTCAACTTCATTTGGAGACTGGTACTTCCCCAGTCTACATATCCAGGTACTACAAACCTATGACTCCCACTATCTGAAGTACCTTTCCTATCACCTCCGAACAATCCCACCATTTCTTATCCCTCCCAGCCCCTTCTGTGTTCCCAGCTCCCATCCTTTTATCTTTTTCACAGCTTATTTACTCTTCTTCATATCCTTTTTTGATCATTTTTCAAGTTTCCCTCTTCTCTTCCTTGACTGTCCCATTTCTTCCTCTTCCCAGATAAGAATGTCCTTAAGAAAAAATCTGGAGGTCATTTCCAAAAATGACCTCCAGGGTCCCTGCCTATTGACTCCTGGCAGCCTTTTGCTTTCCTCCTGTATCCCCTTCCATGCCTCATTCTTTCAGGGCTTTGCTCACAGATAAATGTCATCAACATTCTGATAATGTGATCACTGATGAAGGTTTATTGATTACTCCTGCCAGGAGTATTTGGGTTTGGGAAAGCCTTCAAGACTCAAAAGAATTTTATTGGTGATTTTTTTCAGGCATCCATAGGTAATTGGAAAACAGTCAGCGGATCCTGTCAGGATCCCATTAAACCACATCACATAGGAGGATATCTGGTCTGCCTGCAAAAATCAACCTTGTCCCCAGCATAGGAAAGAGTCTCTCTGTCTTTACACATCTCAATATGGATTCCTTAGATCCTTCTCTTTTCCTCCCAGCTCTGCTTGTTATTAATAGCTAAATGCTTGAAGAAAGGGCATTTGGGTTTTCTCTTGATGGCCTCTAAGATGATGAAATTATCAATCTCAGTAGTGTCCAAATATATTTCTTTAGTTCCCTAAGAAAATATCCTGAGCTGGCTCCTTCTGCTGAGAGCCAAAGTTTAGGCTGGTAGGTGCTACATTCCATAGCAGGAGGGGCCAAGTTAGAGCCAGCAGGGGGAATCGTTAAGAGAGGGCAGCCCTGAGCAAAAAGGGAAAATCCAAATCAAAACCCACTAGTTTGCTACTATGTGACGTATTATGAATGAAATGATCATTATGATCAGTTTGTAAAACAGCATGGTAAAATATAGTAGGCAGAGTTTTGAACTAGAAATCAAGAAACCTAGGTTCTAAGTACCAATCTTGTCAATAATTCATTGTGTTCAAGGCCTTAGGCAAGTCTCTTCTCTGGGGGCCTCAGTTCCTCATCTCTAAAATAAGAGTGAACTATGTAATCTATCACCAAGATCCCACCCAATAAAGATTCAATGATAAGATTTCATAATCTCTTCGCAGTCCCAGAGATCCATCATATTTGCATATGTTCCCACTGGGATTAACATAGGCAACAGAACAGTGTGCTCCTGGTTCATACTTCTACCTTTGCTATAGGCCTAATGTGTTCCTCCAGTCTGTGCCTTAGTTTACCTGTCTGCAAAATTAGGGATACTTCCCAGTCTCACCAGAGGATTGTAAGAATTAATGACTGAGATTAGGGGAACATGTGGGGAAAAAGGTTTAGAAGTCTCCCTAAGGTCAAGGATTTTTCATAATGAATCTCCTCTAGAAACTTGACCATCCTTAACCTTAGGTTAGGAGAGAACATTATACACAGCTAGGATGATAACATTGGTTTTGCCAAACTGAAGTGTGACAGTGTTGCTTTTGGAGAAGAAGAAATGCACCCGAGGAATAGTAGATACAGGGAACTTCTGAGGCATGTTTCCCAGGACCAGCTTTCAGGGCAATAGAAGTAATAAATGGCCAACTGGTTTGTTGAAGACCATTGTTCCACTTATCAGAAAGGACAGTTCCAAAGGCTAAATTTTCAGGTGTTTTCCCTGATGCTTGAGAACAGTGGGACCTTACTTTTGCATATTATCAACCACTGAAACAGGTTCTTGGCACCCTCTTGCACAGGGCCTTATGGAAAGGTTAGTGGGACAGCACTTTCCACAGCACCAAGCTGTCTAGGGAATCAAGTACAGTCTTTAGAAGCAGTGTGGAGGTTGCCAGATCTGAGATCTAATGAAAAACATACAAAAATCTCTGGACCCTGCTTAACCATAGCACTTAGCAGTACTAATCCCATAAGTGAGTTGTATAGATACCTTCAAATACGTACATGGTACCATACATGGTAGGGGCAGGATGTGAAAAATTCTAGAGGATGGAACTTGTCCTTATGTTCTCAAAGACTTTGAAAAGACTCTAAGGTGCCAACAATGATAGGCTTGGGAGACTTACTGACCTGGGATCTGAGGAGCTTCCCTACCCTAGGTTGGGTCATTATCCAGGCACTGACTAGATTCTGGCTTGAGAATGCTCTCCTCTGTCTGATCTATGACTACTTCTAGAAAGGATAGGTGAGGCTGGGTGAGAGGTAGAGCAAATCCGGAGAAAGAAGGTAATAGTTGATCAGTAGGATCTCTGTGGGTCTGTGGGATTGCTTTTTGGTAAGTATCTCTCCTTTGCCAGGGCTCCCAAATCTCCACCATGTGTCTTGGTTAGTTGAAAGAAACCGAAACTTAATCCCTGGTCTAATTTATTCTTCACATCCTCGAAGGAGACCTTGTGAGACATTTTAGATTGTTGCCAAAAATGGCTCAAGAAACCTCATTTTGGGTTTGACACTGCCTCATCTCATTTAGGATCCTCCCTCTAACAGCACATACTGTGAAACTGCCTTCCCAAGTTCAGCCTAGGAAAAAACAAGACTCAGCTTCAGCCTCTGTCCCTTTTGGAACACATGGTCAAGAGAAGTTCCTGCCCCTCATGGGAAAGCTCCCTGGGTGGAGGGGGAAAGGACTGGAGCATCTTCATATTTAGCTGTTTCCTGTAACCATGAGCATTCCAAGTTAAAATGCTCTCTCTTCTGACTCATGTCTTCGAAGGTTTCTTTCCCAGGACCAGATGCTATGATGACCATGTTCTAATCCACCAGCTGTCCCTTCTCCTTGTTTCTTATTTCATACATTGGAACTGCTGTACAGTGTATACTTATGAAGGGTTTTTAATGGTTGTAGATCTGAAATAAAGTATGTCACAAGAGCTGTTTAAATGAACTCTGCCTCTATTGTCTCTTCCTGATCAGTGAGCAATTTTGAAACCCTACTGCTCTCTTTATGAGGGCCTGAGATGCTACTGTTGGATAAAATCTGCTACCAACAGTTATCTTTGCCTGATAACTCCTCAGCTAAATTAATAAGGGAAGAAAAAAAGGTTGTCCTAAGAATGAGAGTCTAAGGTAGAAAGGGATCTCAGAGGTCATCTGGTCCAAAGAAGAACTTCCACAATATTCCCAACAAATGATCATAAGAACTTTGCTTAAGACTATCCGGTGATAGGCAACTAATTAGCTCCCTAGGCAGTCCATTCAGATTTGGTAAAGTTTGAATTGGCAGGAAGTTTTTCCTTATATTGTGTATTGAACTGAAACCTACAGTAAAAAAATCCTGAAGTTGATGTACACTTTGATTTTCCTAAATTGCCTTTCAAGCCCCAAGGAAAACCTCTAGGTCTTTATCTTCTTGGGCCTGTTTCTGTTGTAAAAGGTCTATGGTCACACATGATGAAGCCAGCAGTGAGATGCAACTGTTTAAAAAGTCAAAACCATCTAAGACTGCATTAATAGCATTTGATCTATTTACCATGTACCTACTATGTGCAAAGATGCTGGGCATACAAAGCCCCCCTCCCAAAAAAACAGAACAAAAACAAACTCAGTCCTTGCTCTTAAGGAGCTTACTATATTTTACTGAGGGCACACAAGTTGATGCAAAGTAATTTCAAGGGGAAGAAAGTATTAATAACCGGATCAGGACTCAGAAAGGCCTCAGAGGTCACCTAGTCCAACCTGCATAGACCTAAATAAAAATCCTCTCTTAAAACTTACCCAACAAAAATCATCCAGGTTTTGCTCGAAGACCTAGCATTGCCCTGCTCCTCTGTGGAGCAGCTTCATCATGTGGGAGATGGCATCTGAGCTGTGCTCTCTGAAGGAGGGAAGGGATGCCATGAAACACAGCCTAACCTGGAACAGATGCCACCTCCAGATTTAAGGGGCGGCCTTGAAGGGACACGTCATCTGTAAAATGGGGATGATAATCTGTGGTGCTTCTCGTCGGGGACGGGCCTGAGGATGAGGTGATGACGCCGGCCGCCACTTAATGGCCTGGGGAGCCCTGCCAGCCTCACCCCGTCTCCCCTTTATACAACGGGAATGCTTTCTGCTGCCATTTACTGGCCCTGTGGCCCTTCCTTGACTCTCCGAGCCTCAGTTTCTCCACGTGTAAAAATGAGCCTGGTATAGTATAGGGATGCGTGAGGGCCATATCATCTGATGGGTGGAAAGAGCTGGGACGCTGGGGTCCCTGCGCTGCCGGTTTTGGGCGCTGAGCCACACAAGATAAAACCTCTTCCACACGCCTTCGCCACCACAGACTGCGCCTAGCGGAGCCGCCTGGCCTCCCCCAGCGCCTGAGGCCTGTGCCCCTCTAGCCGACCGGGGCCAAGTAGTCTCATCAGAACCGAGGGAAGGGCACAGCGGGGCGGGGTGAGGGTCCACACCCCGCGCAGCAACGTGGCAGGGAAGCAGGAGCCGCCGGGGCTAGGCCTGCGCTGTAGGCGGCAACCACTAGAGGGCGACGCGCTGCCCTCAGCGTCGGTCCAGGGAGGCGGGAGTAAGCGACCGTTAACGCCCAAACTAAAACATAACGGTTCCTCACGGGAGGGACGCGCGTGCGTGGTGACGTCATCGGGCCAGTTCGTCTCCGAGTGTTTACCTTTTTCCCCCTTCCGGAAGACGTCCCGCCTCTACGCAGGCGCAGTTCGGCGGCGGCGTTGCCGCTTTGCGCGGGAGGTTCGGAGGTGACGGTGCCGGTGAGATGTCCCAGCCTGTGGACCCGGAGCTCGGGGACAGCAGGTACCGGCCGGCGGAGAGCGGGAAGGGAGAGCACCCGTCGTGTGCTGGGAGAGTAATGAGCAGCTTTGTATTTCAGGCGCGGAAGCTCCAGCCTGGACCGACAAATTCCCGATGTGAGGAAGCTCCGCCCCGCCCCTTGCCCGCCTCCCGCCTGGGATCCTGCCCCCTCCCCTCCCCCCATGCCCCTTCTCCGTTCCTTCCTTTGCACCTTCCGCCCCATTCCTTCCTTTGGCCCTCCTCTCATTTCCCCCTCGCAACACCCCCCCCCGCCCCGTTGTTAATCTGCAAGCATTCAGTAAGCGCCTACTATGTGCCGGGCACTGTGCCAAGCGATAGGAGTACAAGGAAAGGCAAGAGGCAGTCCCTGGCCTCGGGGCAGCTAATGAGGAAGACAACATGCAAACAACATACAGGTTACATTGGAGAGGGAGGCGCCCGAATTAAGAGCACCCGAAAGATTTCTCTTTGAAGATGGTATTTTAGCTGGGACTGGAGAGAGAGTATTCCAGTCATGGGGAACAACCTGTGAAAATGCCCAGAGCTTGGGGATGGAGGGTCTTGGGTGAGGCCAGTTTCGCTGGGTTGCAGAGTAGGGAGGGAGTTTAAGGTGTAAGAAGGCTTCTGTCTAGTCCCCACCCCCCTCCCCATTCTACTCCTAAACCTCAAGCACTAATCACCTGCCACATGCAAAACTTAGTACCTCACACTTTCAGTAACCGCTTAGTAGATGATTTTAATTTAATTCTTGCTGTGCTGGGCTTTGGGAATAGAAAGTAAAAGAATAAATAGACCCTGTTCTCATTTTCCGCGTCTCTACCCCTTGCTCCTCTCTCAGCCCCTCCCCACTTTCCTATTCCTAACATGCATTTTAAAGCACCTACTATGGGCCAGGCACCATATTAGGTTCTGGGATATAAAGACAGGAAAAATAGTCCCTGCCCCAACTGTACCCTCTTTCCTCTCTTAAATCTTAACCTCCCTCAACTTTATACTTTGCACTGGCCCTTCCTTCCACTCCCTTTTATGCTTTCTCATTCCTCCCATGACATTCAATCCAATAACATTTTTTGAGTAGCTCCTATGTGCTGGGTTCTGTACCAAGGCTTGAGAAGGGAGAGTAGGGAAGTTAAGAATATAAGTAAAACAGTCTTTTCTCTTTTGGACCTTATAACAAGGTCACTAAATCTTTCTGAGCCCCGTTTTGCCCAGCTGTAAAATTATCGAATTGTATGCTCTCCAAAGTCTCTTCCAACTTTAACATGTTTTGAGTCTAGTAAGGCAAGATTTTATTTATATATATATATAGTTATAAGGCATTATATGTATCATATTAATAATATAGTCAGTTATAATCTTTAAGAAATAAATAATTACATCTGGGATGATAAAGGAGGGCTATATAGTTAGAATGGGTAATATAAACTGGACCTAGAAAGATTCATAGGAATTTCACCAAATAGAGATGGATGGGAAATAACATTTCTCCAGTTAGGGGAAATGACATAAGCAAACATCTGGAGGAGGGATGTAATATGATTTTTCAGGAATAGAAAGTGATAGTTTGTGGGCAGATTGTAGAGGGTGAATCTTCTTGCCTCCCTGCTATCTAGGGTTCTCCACCCAGGTTGACTTCATTGAATGATACTGAGGCAACAAAAGGTGAGTACTAGGAGTGAAAGTGAATTCAATTTAAGACATATTTATAAAGCATATACTCCCTCGCCTAATGAAATCACAGATCTTGACAAAAAACTATATAAGGCATTGTACTAGGAAGATAGAACTATGATATTTGGACTGTATTTGTTAGGCTATAGAGAACCTGTGAAGATTTTTTTTTTAGCAGAGAAGTGCTACATTTGGCAGCTGTATGAATGATAAATAAGAGAAGGGGAAGATTAAAGAAGGGGGGGACAGTTGAGAATCTATTATGAGACTACAGGCAAGAGATAATGGGAACCTAAGTTAGGGTGCTGGGAGTGGAAAGGAAAGATAAAATAGTGGTAAAATTGACTGGAACTGATTTTTCCGTTTTCTTCTACACCTAAAGATGATTCTAAGGCAGTGCCTGGGTGGCTGGGGATAGGTTGACTTTGAGGTACCCTGTTGGAATGACCCTCCAAACAGTTAAAAATATGAGGCTAAAGATAGTTTGGTAGTCATCTTTATAGAATGTATAATTAAACCCATGGGAGTGAATGGGATTGCTAAAGAGAAAAGGGCAGGATAGATTCTCAGAGGATACCCACATCAGGGGCATGGAAGGAGGAAAGAACCAATGAAGTTGATCGAGGGGATAATTATAGAGTTAGGATGAAAACCAGAAGAGAGCACTGACATGGACAACAAGGAAGGACAGACTGTCAAGACCAACAGTTGTTGTTCAGTCGTGTCTGATTTTTCATGAATCCATACAGGGTTTTCTTGGCAAAGATGCTGGAGTGGTTTGCCATTTCCTTTTCCAGTGGATCAAGTCAAGCAGATTAATTGACTTGCCCAGGGTCACATAGCTAGTCAGTGTCTGAGGCCAAATTTGAACTCAGGTCATCTGACTCCAAGCCCAGCTCTCTAGCCTCTGAGCCACCCAGCCCATGGTCACACAACTAGTAAGTTTCTGATGCTAAATTTGTACTTAAGTCTTCCTGACTCTAGGCTCATTGCTGTATCTACTGAGCCATCTAGCTACTTCTTTTGAGACGAGAAATAGAGAATGTCAAATGCAGAGAAGTCAGTGAACATAAGAACTAAAAAATGTCCATTCAGATTGGCAATTAGGTGACTGAGTCATTTCAGTAGTATAATAGAGATCGAAAACAAAACCAGGAGGGGATTGAGGTTGTGGATAGTAAAGAGGCAGTGTTTGTGACAGTGACTGTAGATTGTTTGACAAAAAAGGGGAAGAGAGCAGTAAGCTAAGGTATTTTGCTTAGCGTAATTGGGGTGGGCGGTGCAGAGTTCAGGGCTTGAGAAGTTTGAAATATGAACTATATGTGATGTGACAGAAGTCAATAAGATAAATAGACTGCCATGAAGTAGTGGTGTCCCCGTGGTGGTCAGAATAACATGGCTTTGTAGCCAGCTTAGTTCTGTGAATTCTTTCAACAACACTGGGCAAACTTGATTACCCAGGGTTGGAGTTTAGCAGGGCAGGAGTAGCCGAAGGTTAAATGGGTAAAGGATTCAGGGGGAGAGGAGAAAATAGTGAAATGACCAACCATAGGATCAAGAGTATGAGGGGAGAAAAGTAGAGCCAGAAGAGAGGTGATGGGGTCATAATAAAAGCAAAAATTAGTTGCAGGATGAGTAAGAGTGTAGAAGAGGATTCCAAAGTTCAGGATCTTGGAGATGGAGAATTTTGGAGAGATGGTAAAGTTTAAGATGTGACCATACTAATGAGTAGCTGAACTACAATAGTGATGGGTGTCATAGGTAGGAGTTGAGAATGAAAAAGCTAGAAACCTGAGAGGTTATCAGTATAAATCTTGAAAGTGGAGTAGTGGTGATTAAACCAGGGGCTGAAGTCATTGGAAAAGGTAGGACAGTGCTCTGGAGGTTGGTGAATGGTAGGTTAAAAGGATCGAGAGAGACTGAGTAATCAAAGAGATAAAGGTTAGTGAATGATGATGATAAAGTCTCTGAGAATATCATTGGGGAGGGAGAATTCAGTGAGCTTTCTGGCTCTGGGAGGTAGGAGAGAGTGAAAAGGGTAGCTGGCACTGAAGAGAGTCTTTAGGGATGTGGTATCTTTAGGGGAAGACCAGGTTTTTGTTAATGCCAGAAGGTGGGGGTATGTGGCAAGAGTATAAGGGACTAGGGAGGAGTAGGAATCTAAAGAGAGGGGGTGGGATGAGAGGGGCTTGTGATCAGGCAAGTGCTTTGGAGATCAGGCAAGTGCTATACATATATGTGTGTATATATATGTATGTATGTATGTATGTATATATATTTGTCCTTCGTTCTTCATATATATTTGTCTTTAGGTCAGGCACAAATAGTCCATATGAACATTTGCGATGGATTGTAGATCTGACCAAGGGACAACTTAAGGGAAAGCTGGAGGTTGGCAAGTAAGCTAAAGAGATTTGCTAGCCATGTGACAGGAAAGTACCCTGAGTTGGTTGAAGCTACTAAATTAATTAGTCTCAAGGTTCTAATTAGAAGGTTATGTGTGGAGCTTTCTTGATTCATTCTCCAGACATATTTTGATGAGCTTCAAGAAATTTTTGGCTAGAAAGTATGTGATAGGAAATTGTATTAAGTAAGACGAGGGGGTAATTTACAGCCAAAATTTTAGTGAATTTGATAATGGGGAGAGGTATTCTAGTGTGGTTTGAAAGTATTAAGGAAATACTCTGGTTGAAGGTAGCTGGTAAGTTCAAGTTAGTACATCCAAAGGTGGGGAGATATGTGTCATTGTTCCTATATGTTTGCTAGGCATTAGGATATAAAGAGCCTATTTAGGTTGGGGAGGGTGAGGGGTGGCTGTTGGAGAGGCTGAAACTGGTGGGTCACTTGAGTTTGGGAGTCTTCATCTGCAGTTGGGCTAAACCTAATAACATATCTGCACCAATTCCAGTACCAAGATGGTGAATCTCTGGTTACAAATGGGGCACTGGTACCTAAGGAGGGGTGGACCAGCTCAAGTCAGAAAAGTAGCAGGTTAAAGCTTCATTGCCAGTCAGTTTGGGATTCATAAGTAGCTGATGTATTTCTAGCTTAGGCCAGATAAGGAGACCCAGTTCTCCTCTTTTTCTCCACCCCAACCCTCTACCTCCTTCGCAAAACAAAACACAAAAAACCTATTTACACTAACAGAAAATCCAGATTCAGGACTTTTAGACTAAGAAACTGTCAAATGATAAAGAGATTTTTAGACCTAGCTGTAACTCTGTAACATTGCTGATAAACCACTTAACTTCACTTTTTTTAATCTAAAAAATGAGTAAAGTCTAAAAAACAAAGATAATATTTGCCAAGAAATATTTACAGGAAAATTGTGAAGATAAAATCATGGTGTAGAAATGCTTTGACAAATAAAAAGCATTGAAAATGCTGAGGAATATGGAATTAATGGCAATTTTTTTTTGTAAGTCATTTTATCTCATTAGCAATTGATTCTTCGCCAAGTGCAGAATAGTTATACATTGTTGAAATAGAAATCTCTTAGTGATGTGGCAGGTATTTAGCAGTACATTGAAAATTATCTGATAACTCTTAAGATGCTCAAGTTTTTGCTCTAACTCATACTACTTTTGTGACCATTAACAAATCATTTATTAGTGATCCAGGCAACTCTTGAGAGTTTAAATTGCAGGTTTGCAACAGAAGAAGGAGTTCACAATCAGGTCTTTACTCTGACGAAATCACTAAACTTAGATTTTTGCCTCCATCTCCCTCCATTCCCATTCTGCAAAAGGGATATGTATTAACAAGAAGGGTAAGAGAGCCTAAGTAGCTTTTTAAACTTCCGCACCAAACTAGACTGTCTCTTAGACACTCCCTACCCCCAACCAGCATTAGAATTTTATATTCCCAATGAAGCCTTCTAGATATGTTTCTCTAATTTGGAGTACTAGCATTTTTCGGCCTGTTTGCTTTACAAAGATGTTTGGTTGGTGGTAAGTTTTTAATATTTTAACCTTTTGTAATAAGTGCCTGAAGAAGTAGTGGTGCCCAAGACTCAAGATCATCAATTAACATCAAGCCATACCTCTCTGGAAATCTGTGCTACATCTTCTGCCTTCCCAGAGACTACCAAAGATGTCTCAAGAAAAAGAAAGAATTCTGAAGACAGCTCTGAAACGGGAAAAACTCAAGATCTCGAATACATGGCTCCACAAGAATATAACAGCAATCAGAAAACTAAGCGTCAGTCCTGGCGTAGGGCTAGTATGAAAGAAACAAACCGTCGGAAGTCACTGCCTCCCTTTCATCAGGGTATTACAGGTATTGTAGTAAACATAAACTGTCATGACATATGACATAAAATGAATTTCAAATCTCTAAGCTTAAATTTTTACCATATTCTTTGTCCATTATACTTATTTCACACACACACACACACACACACACACACGCGCGCGCGCGCGCGGACTCTGTTGCCTGAACAGTTTCTAATCTCAAACTCTTCAGGTTGGCCTCATATAAATATTCAGGGTCATATTACAACAGTAGCAAATATATCATCCTTTGGCCTTCTGTTTAATTCATTAAATCAGAATGATGGTGATAATGATTTCTTGGGGTTTTTTTTTTTTTGGTTGACATTATAGTGGAACATGTACATCTTACAGAGAAGAATAAAAAATAAAATTATGAAGCTGTTTGGGTTATACTTTAGAATTTGCTATATTCTACAATGGTTGTATTATTACTGTTAGAGGATACTTATTTTTATGTAGATTTATTGGGTTTTTGTTTGTTGGTTTGTTTTTTTTTTAATCATAGTAAGGAAAGACTCATGGTTAATCTGGAACATTTCAGTAAGAATTGCCAGAGAAGTTTAGTGTTTTCTATAGTCTAATGCCTCACTTAGCCGGTGGTCAAACTTCTACCAGTTTTTAATCATCCAGAATGTATCTCTGACTCTGGCAGAAATTACAAAAGGCTTTTAAGCACTATTTTTAAGAGGGGAAAAAGCAATTGTTGTAGGAGCTGGTGGAGCCATCTCTAGGCCCACACGTAGAGCCTATTGTTTTAGAGTCATGTATAAAAGGTTAATGATTTAATGGTCTTTGCTACCTAGTTAATCCCCTTAACTTTCATTTGCTTAGTTAATCAAGAGGATGGATTAGAAACTGTGAGGGGTTGCCAGACACCCTAGAGGTAGTGTGAAGTGATGGTGCACGAGGGATCGATTTGCATAGGGGACAAATAGTTCTACACTACCTCTGAGAGTATTGTAGTATTCTATGATAACAATAAATTATGTTCCTGCCGCAATAGAAAAAGTTGCTTTCAAGGTACTTTAATAAGATAGGAAAGTAAGGTAATATATATATAAAGTGGATTGTAGAACTATATAAATGTCAGGTATTATGTTATTTTAATTGATTTTGTTTTGACATAGCATGGAAATCTCAATAGAATACAATTAAACCCTCTACAAAGTACAACCTCTGAAAAGTTAAGCAAAATAGCCTAAAAGAGTGATTTTGATTGATAGTACAGGCAGCCTTACAAAAGGTTAGTTAAATGAAAATACTGGTTAAATGAAAAGGTATGTGCTTTAAGTCCAATAAATTAGAACCACCATTGTCCATTATTGTTTAATTTGAGTTATGTTGCTGTTTAAAGTTGTTTTCAATTATATAGTTATAATTATATTTTTTGGTTTATCTTTCACTTCCATGTTACACACGAGTGTTCACATATTTCTTTGAATTCTTCCTATTTGTCATTCTTTTATAATACATTTTAGAAAAGTTATCTTTTTTTAATCAAATCTTTATTACTTAAAAGGGTAAGCTTAAGTTATTTGGAAATTTAGTTTAAGTGAATTACCTCATTCATTGACAACAAGATTAAGATATTATATTTGATTTTTCCTTTGATCAATGAAAAAAAAATCTTAGGAGTGTTCATGTCACAAATTAGATTGTGCCCAAAGGGACCTATTTTTAGATATATAAGTACCTTGCTAACTAGAAAGATGTTGGACTTCTTTTAGTATAACGGTGATGCTTTTGTATGTTAGAGCTCAGCAGATCTATCAGCATAGACTTGGCTGAAAGCAAACGCCTTGGCTGTCTCCTACTCTCCAGTTTTCAGGTAAGATGCTTGGGTTAGGGAAATGATTTTGTATCCTGGTGAAGTATCAATCCCAAAGAAGTATTAACCATATTGTAATGTACAAAATATTTATTTTTACATTTAAAAAAAAAATCTTCCCCTAAAGATGAACACATCAGCAGCTACCCCCATGATATAGGAGGCAGTGAATAACAAAAAAAGTCGTTTCAGTCCATCGTCCTCTTTAGATGAGGTTGACTTGCTCAGTGAATTAACTTGAGACGTCAGTCTTAATAAACATTTCGATTTATGTTTGTAGTTCATATTTTGGACCATCCATGTTTCTTTCCATTTGTTCAGATGATTGGAGGTGATTGTGAAAGTGTTTTGTTTTTTGATTTTTTTTAGTTCTCCGCACACAAACTTGAACCTTTTCTGAGAGACGTTGATAGCATCAGTCTGGATACTTTTAAGGCCAGAGGTAAGTTACTAAGGAGAAATTGAGGTGGACTAAGCATCGGACACACAGAGAGAGCACTAATTTTTGTTGTTTGCCACTTCATGAATCTACGGGAGATGAGTCAGTTTGTATCTTTTAGTGATCTAACAGCACTTCTTAAACTGTGGGTCAAGACCAGTTTAAAAAGCACTAAAGGGGTCGAGAGTGGAGAAAGTTTAATAATCCCTGATCTAAGAAACCAATGAGCTAAGATTTACTTGACAGTGTAAATTATGCCCTTTTAGTTTATCCCTTAGAATTAAATTTTCATTTAAACACTTGCTTTGGGCTACACACTAGGAATACAAATAAAAACTACAATAAACTAAAAACAGTCCCTACTAACAAAAAATTTCTATTCTGTTGGTAAAATTTTTCCTTAAATGGAGTTACTTCATAGTCTTCTTGAGAGCTAATACATCATTTTTATAACTTCAGCATTATTTTGGTGGGTGTAGTAGTTTGCTCTTCCAAGTCCAAATACAGCTAACTGTTATCTAATTCTCATAATTAATCATTTGCAACAGTTTTTTCATTGTGCTTCCTAACTCTTGATTTTATTCCCATCCATTGCCTAACTTCTATAAAACTCTCCCAGTGTACGCAGATTAAGTTTTTTGATTGAAATATAATAGATACTGACCTACCTTTTAACTTTTTTTTTAAATACACTGTAAAAAAATGTCATTGAGGAGTTACCTTCTCAATGTTATCTCCCATTTCACTTGTACTTAACCACAAAGAACTCCTAGCTTCCATACTGGATATTAATATAGTTCTTAGGTGGGTCTTTCCATGTTCATCAAGTGGCACGACTCTCTTGATATGGCAGTATATTAAAGCATCACACAGGATGTTTATACTCTTGATATACTTATATCCCATAGTTGTTACATGTCCAAGATCCTTGAATATTCCTTTACCTGATCCTAGCAGTTTATCATTCTTCTAAACCTGTTCTCTCTCATCACCATAACCTTAGTTAGTAAACCCTTTCCTGATTTTCCTTGCTATCACTCATGCTCTAACCTTACCTTCCTTTAAAAATCTTGACCACATAGGTAACCAGTTCAACTTTATACTATCCTCTTCCTTTTTCTCCTTTAGCCCCTTTGTCCTTTCTCAGCTCACCCTATCTTAGCATCTGTCTTCTTTGCTTCTGTATGGATACTGCTGAATGTCATTGGAGGAAGTTGTGCAACCTTGCTGACTGGGTCCACCATAGATTCATTATTCCCATAGATTCATTATTCAATCTCAACCAAACCCTCACAGATACATGTCAATGCCTTTATTCTTAAATGATTGACTATTACTCCCTCTCAGCAGAAGACCTTGACAAAGAAGTCAAAACTATCTGCTGCAAGCTCCATCTTCTAATTCCACATTCCAAATTACTTCAATAACCATCTCCCTCTTTCCTTTTCTCTAATATTAGAGGAAAAGATACCATTATTTTTGCAAATGCCAATTTTTGTAGCTATGCTATTCTTCCCATCTTCTATGTTCTCTGGGAACTTGGTTCTTCCTTGATCATCCCGTCTTTCCTTTTCTCTCCTTGTCCACAAAGCCCTTTTCTATTGCTTATAAATATGCTGAGATCTTATCCATCCTTTAAAAACCTTAACTTGAGCCCACCATCCCCTCAAGATGCCATCCTCAGTACTGATATCAACACATCAGTATCAATAAATATTATATCAGTATTATTGCCTCCACTTTCTTTCATCACTTTCAGTTCTCAACCCCCTTTAATCTGGCTTCTGACCTCATCACTCAACTGAAACTGCTTTCTCTAAGATTATTAATGAACTATTAATTGCCAAAATCTGATAACCTTTTATTGTTACTTATATTTCTTTTGCAGGATTTGACATTGTGGACCACTCCCTCCACCTAGACACTCTTCTCTCCCTTTCCCCTAGGTTTTTACAACACTGTTGTTTTCTACTTCTCCTCCTACTGGTCTGTTGGCTTCTTCTTGGTCTCCTTTAGAGGAAAGTCATCATTCTTGTCCCACCTACCATTCATGGGTGTACCCCAGAACTCTATTCTGGGGCCTCTTCTCTTTATACATTCTCTTAGTGATTTTTTCAGTTTTCCCCAGGTTCAGCTGTCATTTCTCTGCAGATGATTCCCAGATCTTTATATCCAGCCAGATTCTCTCTTCAATGAATTTTGACTCACCAACTTCATATTGAATATTCCTAACTGGATGTCCTGTAGACGTCTTAAAAGCAGTGTGACCAAAATGGAACTCATTATCTTTTCCCTAAAACCTTCCCTTCTAATTAATTTTCCTATTTTTATTAAGATCACCACCATTCTTCCAGTCACCTAGGTTTGTAACCTTGGATGCCCTTAAAACTAGTCTCTCAACCCTTATATCCAACCAGTTACTAAATCTTAAGAGATTCTGCTTCTGCAATATCTCTTTCATCCATCCCCTTCTTTCCACTCACATCACCACCACTCTAGTTCAGTTCCTTATTGCCTCTGGACTAGACTGTTAAACTAATCTAATTGCTTCCTTGCTTCCAGTCAATCCCCTCTCTAGTCCATTTTCCACATAACTGCCAAATTGATATTCCTAAAGCACAGGTCTAGCTGTCACTCAATTCAAGAACCTTTAGTAGCTCTCCCTTACCTCCATGATAAAATACTCTTCTTTTTAGCTTTTGAATCTTTTTCACAATTTGGCCTCAGCTTACCTTTCTAGGCCATGCCCATAGTAGATACTTAATAAATGTTTGCTGAATGCTGAGCTGGGGATGTAGTGTAAGGATTCTAGTTCTGATACCCTCAGTATTTAGTGTATAAGATCTTTGTCAAATGTATATGCTATATAAAGCTACCTTCATTTCTCTACATTTCCATTTTATTCTTCCTTCTAGTGTCTTCAATTTCTGAAGAATTCAAGCATTTTACAAACAGACTTGAAGATGATGGGACCTTAGAGAAATGCTCTGATGAATCAAAAGGGTAATTTGAACAAAAATTTGTATGTTTTTTGGTAGTTGCACAGTTCTCCTTTTTCTTGTCAATCATGAAGATCAACATGCATCCACAGACCCTAAAGTGCTTAAAAAAGTGCTTAAAAATTTTAACCAACATTACCAAAGCCCAAACTGGACATAGATCAGCATTGCCATCTGAAATCTTCCTTAATCCATATAACAAGTCTATGAGGTAGATAGGGCAAGTGTTATCCTCCCCGTCTGAAATCTTACTTAATCCTCCCCATCTGAAATCTTACTTAATCCATATAACAAGTCTATGAGGTAGATAGGGCAAGTGTTATCCTCCGGTTTATAGATGTTTGCTAAAGCCAACAAAAGAGAAAGTAACTTACCCAAGGTCATGAACTATCACATAGCCGGGATTTAAACCTAAATGTACTTGCTCTGAGACCATTGTGCTTTCTACCATGCTGTATTGACCAGCCTAATTCATTTTCCCCTCCCCACGTGTATTTTATCACATTGAGTTGGCATATTCACCAAAAAATGGGGAAGTTCTAACTTTTTTATATACTCTAATTTGGAGTACAAGGTGTTGTAACCTAGTTACTCAGAGACAGAAGAGGAGGTATCATTTAGATGTATAATTTACTCTGTGTGTATGTGTATTTATATTTTAGAATTTTTTTAAATTTATTTTAAACTTTAGTCCAAAATAAGAAAAGATATTGACATATACACAGCAGAACATAAGAGGATTCAATACAAACCAAATTTCAATTTCACGAAAACCTATTTAATATTACACATTGTTTTCAAAGCTGTTCAGCTTTTTTTTGCTTCCTTCTAGATTTTTTGTTCTCTGCTGTACCATTTTTACTTTATTTTTTTCCTCTCCTTTCTCCTCCCCTGCCCCCAGAAGGCTACAATTGAGAATCTTTCTATCTTTCTGTCTACATGTGCATGTAGACACACACACACACACACACACACACACAGATATCTATAAACATTATAAACATACACATATACACTCATACACGTATATGTAAGACCATCTTATACTTATTTCCACTTGTCTTCTGTTTTCATCTGTTTCTCTGAAGGTTGAATAGCTTCTTCTTTCACAAGTCCAAGTCTTTCCATGTTTTTCTAAATCAACCAGCTCATCATTTCCTATACCACAGCAATATTCCAACCCAATCACATTCTATTTGAGAGATTGTCTGTGAAAGTTTTTTCCCCAATTTTTTTTTCCATTCTTTCTATTCTTGGCTGCATAGATTTTACTTATACAAGGAAATTTTAATTTAAAATAATCAAAATTATCCTTTTTCCACTTCAACAATATTCTCACCTTATTTGGTTTATGGTCTGATATTACTTTTTCCATTTTTTATCTCTTGGTTCATCTCTTCTAAGTATTCAAGTAGTGCTTATGGAAAATCCATTTTTTCTTTTGAGTCTCTGCTTGCAATTTTTATAGAGTTATACTCTCTTTTGGGGGATTCCTAGATTTGCAGTAATTTTTAATACTGGCCACAATCTTCTCTGATTTACTCGTTTCTTCAGCTTAATTCCTGAACTGGGACTTTTTGCCAAGGCCAGGCTCCACCTCCTGCTGCATTATGGTTAAGTGTTCAGCTGTACTCAATCTCATCCTAATGTCTTCTAGGATCCAGTGCTGACTTCTACCTCCTGGGGTTAGGCCTTCCCCTTTTCTACCCCTCCCAGACCTCTGAAGTTCATAGCACTGAATTTTCAAGACTCTCTACATAATCTCAGTAGAATACTTCAAACTTCAGAGACCTGAGTGTCCTGGTCCAATTTGTACTCACGTTGGTTGCCCTTCTCTGTGGTTTTCTTGGGAGAGCTCATTGTTCTTGCTGCCTTTAGCCAAGATGCTCACCAATCCACTTTTTAGCCTCCATGCCTTTATTCACTGTTCCTCACTTATCAGTCTTAATTATTTTTCAAGGCCCAGTTCAAATCCTACCCCTTTCATAAAAAGCCTTTCTGATCTAAATATCAACTGGAAGAGATCTTTCTCTCTTCTGCAGTCCTGTAATATTTATTATCAGTACAACTAAAACATATATTACCTTGTAAAATTAATTTTTTTTCACTTGTATATGTTTTTATTCTCTAAATGGTGCTATTTTACACTTCTTTATATATTCTAGTACACTTAGAATAATGCCTTATACTAAGCAGATGCTCAAGTACTTGTTACCTGACTCATTTCCTCCTCTATAGAATGAGGAGAGTTGGACTAGATGGTTGCTTGGTGGCAAAATCTTAAGAAAGACTGATTTTTTGGGGTTTATTTGGCAAATAATATATCCAACTAATAAATATCCTTTGGATGTGTAACCTTTTAAACTTCAACTTCTTTGCAGAGGAGGGAGTAACCATAGATACAGAACACCGCACAGGTCAGAGTTTTCAAATGGATGGATCAATTTGCTGAACTTTTTTCCACCCCCTTTTTTTTAATCTCTATTATAAGGGATGGCTCTCTGGGAAAGGAAGAGATACACTTGGAAATATGGATAATGTAATAACAAAAAAAAAAAACAATGAATTTTTATTTAAAATAATCAAAATTATCCATTTTCCACTTCAACAGTATTCTCACCTTATACGGTTTATGGTCTGATATTACTGAATCTGCTTTGTGTATGTATGTAATTTTTTAAATTAAAATTAAAATTAAAAAAATAATAAAAATTCATTGCCCCCTTCTGGGGAAGGAAAATCAATAGCTCAGAAAAGAAAATAATAAACATCCAAATGATTAACTCCTGGAACTGGGACACTAATCACTAGTATTATCAGTGGGGAGACTAGAACTAAAAATGAGGGAAAGATGTCAGAATGGGGGACCAAGCCATTAACAAGGCCTCTATATTTGCTGTTTTACTGAAACCCATACAAGTATTGATATTAAGAAATATGGATGTTGTATCATTCAGATTCTTCCTTGTGGAGAAAAACAAAAAGCAACTGGCTATCAAATGTAACTAGGTGCCTGGAAAACAGATGAAAGAAATAATTTAAAATCATTGGACTTCCTGAATACCATGATTTAAAAAAATATATAAAGAAAGAAAAACTTGGGACCCTATATTTCGAGAAATCATAAAAGGTAACTGCCCACATATATTAGAACCAGAGGGTAAAATGAATATAGAAAGAATCCACTGATTGCCTTCTGAAAATAACCCTGAAAGAAAGAATCCCAGGAATTAAATTGTGTGAGCTCCTCCATTGAATTGTGGGAAGGGGATTATCTTTTGCCTCTTTTTTTTAATCCACAGTTTATCACAGTTCCTGGCTTATAGTAGGTGTTTAATAAATGTTTATTGGCTGGTAGACTGAGAAATATCAGCCAAAATCCAGAGTTTCCACATCTAAGAAAAAAATACCATAAATATTCAGAAAGAAACAGTTCAAGTATCAAGGAACCACAGTTAGGATCATCTAAGACCTTGTAGCTTCATCTTTAAATGAGAAGAGATCTTGAAATACAATATTTCAAAAGGCAAGTCTTACAACCAAGAATAACTTACCATATAAAGCTGATTATAATCAGATTAGGGCAGGGAGGCATATTTAATGGAATAGATGACTTTCAAGCATTTCTGATGAAAAAGCCAGAGCCAAGTAACAACTTTAAAATGCAAACACAGAGGCAGCTAGGTGGCGCAGTGGATAGAGCACTGGCTCTAGAGTCAGGAGGATCTGAGTTCAAATGTGACCTCAGACACATAACACTTACTAGCTGTGTGACCCTGGGCAAGTCACTTAATCCCATTGCCTAGCCAAAAAAATAAAATACAAATACAAAAATCAGAGCAACCTAGAAAGTTTAATGTATCCGATTAATTTGATGGGACTATATGATGATACAGTGCCTACATTCTAATAGAGGAGAAAAGATGTGTCCCTTCATAACCTTAATCTCTTCAGTTGGGTATTGAGAAAGTTAAATTAGAATAGCAGAGGTCCAAGCGGTGGATTGGATTTGTTATGAAGATTTTAAGAGGGAAGAGAAGTGAAGGCAAAAGGAATATGCTAGTATAGAAAGGAAGGATAAAGAGGCCAAACTTGTTATTTTTCATAATTGGTGTGAATGTGACAAAAAGGATAGAAACAGGGAGGAAAAGGGATAGGAGGAGTGACCATGAAATGAACCTTTGTGTAGAAATAGATCAAATTAAATAAGAAATGTGGGGATGGGGAAAGAGTTGGTAAGAGGGAGGATGACAGTGGGGAGGGGATAGTTGAAAGCATTAAATTCCCTGATCCTGAAGGGGAGAATTAAAAGTCAGAAAAGAAAAGGAAAGCAACTAGAAACTAAGGTGGCCATCAATTGGGGTTTAGCTGATTCTCCAGTTGATAAATGGTCAAAGTACATAAATAGTTAGATTTTTAGAGAAAGAAATCCAAACTATCAAAGCCATGAGAAAAACTGTTCAAAGTCACTTATAATTAAAAGACAAACAAACAGCTTTTAGGTTCGGCCTCACACCCATCAGTTAAGCAAATTTCATCCAAAAAAAGGAAAATGACGAACATTGGAGGGCGTGTGGGAAAACTGCTACATTAATGTACTCATGGTGGGACTGTGAATTGGTCCAGGTGTTTTGAAAAACAATTTGAAACTATGACCCAAAAGTCATCAAACTGCAAATCCTTTGACTCTATAGTACTACTTCTCTATGCCAAAAAGATCAAAGAAAGACGAAAGGGCTTCTTTTGTGCAGAAATACCTATAGCAGCTTTTTTTGTGGTGACAAAAAATTTGGAAACTGAAAAGGGCGCCCATCAGTTGGGGAATCTTTGAACAAATTACACTATGCAGTTTTGACAGTGCTATTGTGCTATATGAACTGGGATGAAAGAAATGGGATAGTTTCAGAAAAGCCTGGGAAGACTTGTATGAACTGATTCAGAGTAAAGTTAGTAGAAGGACGAGGACAATTATATCAATATTGAAAAACCTGAGAACTGCAATCAACACAGTAAACAGATACAGTGTCAGCTGACTCTTGATGAAAGTCCTGACAGGGAGGTGTTGAATTCACAGTACAGATTGAGACTTTTTTTTTGGACATGACCAATGTCAAAAAATGTTTTGCTTGATTATACATATTTGTTACAAAGGCTTTGTTTTTTTGTTTTTTGTTTTTTTTTATTTTTCAGTTGGAGGTGAGAGAAGGTAGATTTTGGCTAATTTAAAAAATAAAATCTGGTTTTTTAAAAATTGGGGAATGGCTAAACAAATTGTGGTACATGAATATACATACCATAAAAAATAGAGATTTATCCTGGGTAGTATGACTTTATGGAGAGTGAAGTGACCCAAACCTGGAGAACTATTTATATATTGTAAGAAAGATCTTTGAAAGACTTAAGACCTCTGATCAAAGCATTGACCAAGCATATATCTAGAGAACCTATGGTGCAACATACTAACCACCTCCTGACTGAGTGATGATGGACCTAAGGGTGCATAGAGATAATTTTTTGGACATGACCACTGTGTGGATTTCTATACTTATTTTGTTACAGGGATTGTTAGTTTAGTTTTTTTTTTCCTTAAGTAATTTACGGAAGTTGGTGGGTTTAGCAGTAGTAATACCAAGGGGGAAAATGGTCCATTGAAACAATGTTTAAAAGGACAGATGAGAAGGAAGTTGAGATTGAAGCACAAATAACTCAGGACAGTTTTGAAGATAATGTGTGACATGTCTTACATATTTCTTTTAAAAGTAGAATGAAATGGAGATTCATGGTTTTGTATGCAATCGTCTTTGTGTTCTGTATATATGGGAATGCCCATTTTTGATGTTTAGGCTCAAAGCTTTTTAAAAAATAAAGTAGAAGGTGTGTTTGGCTGAAGTAGATGATTTATGTAAAGTTGTAATGGGAGATGAGGCTTGAAAGGTAAATGTACCAGCTTATGAAAGACCTTGAATGCCAGGCTGATTTTGAACTTCTAGGCAGCAGGGAATTACTGAAGGAATTACTGTTGGGTTTTTGTTTTTGTTTTTTTACAGTAATAGCACTATGGAATATTTTAGGAATAATTAATTTGGTGATAGTGCATAGCATTGGTTAGAGAGGAGTAAAGCTGGAGACAGCAAGACTATTTCAGCTATGTTGTGGTGGAAGGCCTGGATTCTGAATGATTTTATGTGTCCAAAGAATACTTAGACTATTACAGAAATGATACTATTAACATCAGATGTTTCTTGAGAGTTGTTAATCCTGTAATCCTCTATTTCAGGCAGTCAACAGGTACTGCTTTGGAAGCATCAATGACAGAGATGAAAGAATATATAGACAGGTGAGTGGGTAATGACTGAGCTATATCATCTCAACTAAACCCAGGAAGAATTAATATCAAAAATGTGGATTCTCAAAAGAGATTGGTATTAGGAGTTAAAAGTCTCCTTTTCAAAACGTATTGGAATTGATAGCCTATACCATTGAGTAAAGATCAGGAAATGAAAGTGTTCATTTAACATAAAGAACATGCTCACTTTTTGCATTTGCGGGTGGGAGGAAGAGAAGGTAGACTTTTGTTAATTGAAAGTAATTTTTTTAAGTCCATGTTGGCTAAATTTGTTTAACATCTCATAATCCTAGAAGCTTTCTTGAAGCTCTTCTTTTTCATTGACTTTTTTATGGACATCATACAAACTGGATCCCTGACCAAACCAACAGCCATGATGTATGCATTTTCTTAATTCTACAGGCTTTCTTTGGAGTGTACGAATTGGGACCAACTATTGCTGCATCACCAGAAAGAAGCTGAAGAGCTATCCAGGTTAAATTTCTGTAATCACAATAGGAAGTTGCTTTTTCCCCATGGGGATTTATTAACTTTTTTTTTCCATTAGTACAAATTGGGTGTTAAAACTCTGGGAAGACTAGTGTTCTTAGAGATCTTTGAGATACTATATGTTAGCTACCTCTGAAGTTGCCCCTTTGTGGGGAAGGAGAGACTAGTTGTGGTCACTGAACAAAATTCTGTATTCTTAATCGTTATTTACTTTGCCAGTTCCTCAGGAAAGGATGGCAGCTCTGTGTCTGGCAATCCTAATGCTGACTCAGAGGCATTGAGATGGGGTCCACAGTAAGAACAGAAAGCACTGACTTCTTGAGTCCTGCAGGCTCCTGCCCCTTCAGTGGCTTCTTTTGTACACTCACTGGGTGGTGGTCAGCAAGGGTGTTAGGACTGTATAATACATTTCTGAGAAATTGCAGTCAAAGCAATTGGATTGAAATTTTAAAGTTAAAAGTGAAAAAAAAAATTTAGAATTTGACATCCTACCTAACCATTCTAGAATAAATGACTTGTTAATGCATTTCTGTATTCCCCTTGCAACAGAGATCCAACCTCAGATTAGTAATACCTTATAGTTTCCTTCCACTCCAGAAATACAGCTTTCCCTGTGGTATAGGGTAGGCTAACCTTAAGCTACTAGACTTAGAGAGGTCTCAGTTGAAAAGCATCAACATAATCAGAGGCATCTTTTTGTTAATTAGGAAGCCCTTTTGGGTAGGAGGGGAAGAGGAGATTTCAGTTTTCAATTTAGCGTAAGAAGGCTTTTGAATATAGTATGGAGAAATATAATTTTATTCAGAAATCACTTATTTCTAAGTATTTTATTAATTTTTCAAGGACATTAGAGGAAGCCAAAATTGCTGATATAGAACTGGACTCTACTCTGTATCTTCAGTCTTCACAAAGTGAAATTCTTAGCACAAAACCTGACTATCAGAAAATATTAGACAGCCAAAACGAGGTTTTTAACTGCATGGAGATGGTGGTGAGTTGACTCCTATTTACTTCAGTTAATCAAAGAAGCATTTATTAAGAGCCAGATACTGTGCTGGCTCTGGAAATATAAATACAAAGAATGAAACAATCCCTGTCCTAAAGAACTTACATTCTTATGGAAAACAGCAAGTAAATCCTGGACTGAGTTCTGTCACTCTGCTAGTTTGTTTCCTCCTGAAAATTTTGAGGAATCAGCTTATGAAAGGAGATAATCTGAATATGTACAGCTCAACCTAAGAGGAAATGTATTAACTTTTGGCAAGGTGGCAGCCACATGTTTAATCTCAGGTGTGATTCACTTTAGCTTAATGGGGTTTTTTTTTTTAGCCAAGTAATTACATGATTAGTTGCATTTATTAGCTTTTCTATCTGAGGGCTTTAACCATAGGAGAAGAATTCTGAATTATATGGTATGAATGTAGTTTTAAAAAGCAAGGCCAAGAAGGTTTGGTTTCTGTTTTCTAACCATTATAGAATAAGTGAGGTGTTAATGCATTTCTGTATTACCCTTGCAGCAGAGATCTGACCTCAGGTTAGCAGTACCTAGTTTCCTTCTACCCCCAAAATACAACCTTCCCTATGGTATAGGTGGGCTAACCTGAAACTGCCTGGACTTCCAAAGGTCTGTTTTTTGAAAATCGTTAACATAATCTGGAGGATCTTTTTGTGAAGTTAGGAAGCCCACTTAAGGTATGTCATTAAGCTGACCATTGTAGGTCCAGAGGTCTTAAGATTTCCCTAAAGGCTTGGGACTAAAAGTGAAAGTTGCTTGGCAGAGGGAAAGACTGCAGGAGGAGTTGTTGGGGCATTAAAGCAGATCTTCAACTCATGTCACTGCAGACTAGAACATTGCTACAGGACTACCCAGTCATCTCTCAAACACAGTTTGCCTTTGCCAATGAAAGGGTGCTGAGAGTAGGCAAATTGCCTTTTTCTCAAAAATAGCTTACTGTAACTACTTTCTATTCTTAGAACAACTAACCTTTTTCCTATGAATTCTTGAGATGCAGAAACTGCATTTTTACAGACTAAAATCATTGTATGTAAAGGGAGAGACAACTGAAAGAGACTTATATCCTATACTGTGCTACAGAATTCTGGAATTCAGATTATCCTATTGTTGTTGATAGTGAATTGAAAGTGACTGAATGAATGAACTTGTCTATCAGGCTAGAAGTTCACTGAAATTTTTTTGTTTATAGATAGATGAACTACAAGGATCAATAAGGCTGTTGTATTCTTTTATGGAAGATACTACCCAATTCTTCAAGAAGGTGTCAGTGCAGCTTGGTAAGAGAAACAGTCACAATTTGGAGAGAGTGAAGAAAAATTGTTTTCTCTTAAGACAGACTCCCATCCTCACTCCATTGAATTAAAATTTCCCTTCAAATACTATGTTAGTAGACCAAGGGTTCTTAAAATTTTTTTTTGTGTCATGGACCACTTTGGTTGTTTGGTGAAGCCTGTGGATTGGATACTTTCTCAAAAGAATGTTTTTAAATTTGAAAAACAAAAATACAGAATTACAGAGGGAACCAAAGATTAGTGAAAACAAGGATGTAATTATTTTCCTATCCAAGTTCATGGATCCCCTGAAATCTATCCAAGGATCCCTTGGAGGTCTGTGGACCTCAAGTTAACAACCCCTGACTGGGAAGAGTGTAAGCTTATCTTCTGCTTTTTTCCTAACACCTGTTTTTTGGTGAAAATTCTCAATATATCATAGAGGATTGGTAATGTAATGCCATTGTATGTCCTTCTGTAGTAGTTAAAATTCTTTTAGTTTCCCTCCCTTTTTCTGAAGCCTGAGGTTTTTTTTTTCACATTTGTCTTATTTTCTTTCAGGAGAAAGGACTGCCCAGCAGTTGGAAGCCTCACCAATTCGAAAACTGCTCAAACCTCAACTGGAAAAACCATCTCCCACAGACTCAGGCACTCTCTGCTAATGATCACAGTCTACATATATTTCCTTCAAATTGTCATTCAGATGATTGCATATGAGAAGTTGCTTCCTTTTATGGAGTGTGACTGTAAATTAATGTGCCACTTTTTTAAAACAGGCATCAGCACTTAACTACTCTGAATATTCATTTATAACTTTATGTCTGGAGTCTTTACACAGACTGGTGATGGATGCCATTCCTGAAGACATTTTTGCAATTTGGAAGTAATGACACATTTTAAAATACATATATATGTATGTATATATATATACACATACATATATCCTCAGTGGCAGCAAGTTTTTATTCTTAAAGGGCAGAGTTCACTTTTTCCCCTTGAAATGTCCAGGGTTTAATGTCTAGTGAATAAAGTTGGTCATCCTTTATGTAAGGTCAGTAACCTTTATGAAGTTAAAAAAATGAGGGATGATTACAAAGTAATGATATGGATTTTCTTATATGGCTCTATAGGGAGTTCTAAAATGTTTGGATTAATGGCATCCCTGAAGTAGACCTGTGGCCTCCTGAGGAAACTACTTTGAAGGATATATATATACACACATATAGTTTACTTTAAATTGTCTCATTACATTAGTCACCATGTATATACCTCTTTCCATTCCTTGTTTGTCTTAATATTTATGTTGACTACCCAGTCCCACACACAATGTACACAAATACTTGGTTTTATTTTCTAAAACAATGCACAATAAAGAACTGCCTGTGGTTTAATAAGTAAACCTAATTTTGAGATTGGGAATATTGGAATTATATAGATTTTTATTCTAAGTGTTGTGTGGGAGACTGCATCACTGTCAGTCATTGGTAATGAAGTTAGCCTGGCTACCCTGGGCAAAGCAGCCAGCCTGTTATTTGCTTCCAGACTATTAGGCATGACTAACGTTTTTGAGCCAGGTACTAAAAACCCACATCACTCCACCATTAGGCCCAAGGTCATAACAAGTTAGTAGAACTGGGACTTCCACGGGTCTCCTGACTTCTAATCACTTGTAATCCGATATCCTTTATCATGCCGGCTGGTCCTTCTCATAATCCATCACCTCAGTAGGCTACCCTTAAATAGATTAAGTGGGCACAAACACTGTGAAACAAAGGTGGGTAGGGGCTGGTATGCCTCTGTTCTTAGCCTTCCGCTTTGATTGGCTTTAAAGTGAAATTCGGTTCCATGGGTCTGTGCGAGGAAAAAAGGCTTTTCCCCACATGTTGTAAACATGCAACTTTTGTCTCTGCAGAGGAGGGAAATGTAATGGGTACGCTGTCATTTGATTCGGTTATTTGGCTTATTACCCAGAAAGAGAGGGCAGAGTAAGTGGTTTCCCCGACACTCCCCCGCCCCTGGACTGCCGCTCCCCCTCTCCGAGGTCCCAGCCGGGCAGGTGACGCCTGGCCGCTCCGGGCCTTCTGCCGCATGCGCTGTCCCTGGAGACGACTGTCAAGGCCAGGAGGGAGCCTCGCAGGGCTCATCCCGAGGGTTTGCCCAGCAGCCGCTTACACGTCCCCGGCTCTCGGGTGGGCCCCGGCGGAGGCCCCGCCCCTGCCCCGCCCTCGCCTCAGGCGGTGCCACCGAGTTCTTAATTAATGAATAAAAAACTACAACCAAGGTGGAGACTCCCGCTCTTACGTAGAGCGTCCGCCCTTTTCCTGGTAGTTCCCCGGGATCGGAGGAGGACTGCGCAGGCGTTTGGCTATTTGCGACTGGCTCTGCGCCTGCGCCGGGCCGCATTGCTTGTCCTATTCCCGCCCCCCTGGCTGTAGCTGCTGCGGCCGCTGCCTCCGCTGCCGCTACCGCTGTAGCCGCTGCTGTCGCAGCCGCACTGAGAAGTGCTGTCGGCTCAGGTGAGTGCCTTTGCCCGCATTCCCTGCCCCCGCCAGCCCCTCGTCCCCGCCTTCCAGGGCTAGCCTGGCCCCGGCTTCGGGGGTCTTTGGGGGTCTCCGGGGGTCTCCGCGTGTCTCCGCGTGTGTGGGGCTCGTCGGCCCTTCGGGGAGCGGCGCAGGCTAAGGCCCCCGGCTGGCCAGCGACCTTGGCTGAGCCGGCCCCGGCCCCGGAGCTCCTGCGGTGACGGAGGCCGCCCGGAATCCCGGCGGCTCGGACGTGTGCGGGGCAGCCCGGCCCGCGCTCCTGCCGCGCCTGCGGCTTCAGAAGAGGCCCCTTGCCCGCAGTACCACGCTGCTTGTCCCCCCTTTATCCGGAAATAACTGAGGCTCGCAGGTGACCTGCCTTAGCTGTTACCGCCGGACTAGTTTCGACCGGTCTCCTGACCCCGAATCCCGAAATCTTTCCCTGCGCCAGCCTGGAGAGTGGCTTGTTCTAGTTCATTGAATCAGGTTCAGCTAATTGAATTTCCTGAAGGTTACCAGGAAATCCCTCGTTTCTGTCGGTTCTTGTTGAATGTTTCTTTTCAATTCAACAAATGTTTAAATGCATGACATTATCGTTTTTTCCTTAGGTTTGCAAAACCCCCTTCTTAGTTATTAAAAACAACAACCTGTAATAGGTAAGAGGACTTGTCCTGTTTTACAGATGAGGAAACTGAGATCCACAGAGGTGAAGTTACACACCATACCCAGAGGCACACAACTACTTAAGTGTGGGAAATGGGATTTGAACTCAGATCTCCTGATTCCGAAATCCAGTACTCTTTCACTCTACCAAGCTTGGAAAAAGGATGATCTAATTAACGATGGTTGTCCATTTAGTTGGGGGTTGCTCGGAAATTCTTTTGGTCCAAACCCTGCTGAATATCTTTTCTGTTCAATTTAATAGTTTTTATTAAGCGAAGCCATTCCTAACTCCTTACTCCTCACTTCCACAATAATATTGTAGAGAATTCTCTGAATGCTACCTTGGCCCTTTATTCTCATTCTATCTCGGATAATGCAAAATCATTTGTGTGCCTGTTGTGTACTCCCTCTTAGAGCACCTTCAGAGCTCCTTGAAGGTCTCTTTGATTCCTTGGATATAGTAGAGACAATATAGTACAGCAGATAGTCTGGCTTTTGGTCCAGTAGAAAAAAATGCTAGATTTGGTGTCAGGGGGCCTAAGCTCAAATCATGGAGTTGCTAGGATCCTGCTAACCGACCACTTAATAACTGGCTGACCTTGGGCAAGTCACTGTAACCTCCCTGTTTCTCAGTTTCCACATCACTAAAGTGACCTTTCCCCTTCCCTCTCTCCTACCCCCCCACCCCCCATCCCTGTGAGCTCTACCTGATGTAGTTATTGTGAGGATCAAATCCTTACCATCTATGGAATGCAAAGCAAACTTTAAAGTTTTTCATAAATGTCGTCAGCCCTGTGGTTTAGTCTAGGCAGAGTTGAATATTCCCATTTTGTAGATAACAGGCTTTGCCAGAGTCTTGATCCTTCTTCTATATCACAGCCCTTAAAAGAATGGTAGCTCTAATTTATATAGATTGGTAAAGTGGAAGAGACCACTAGATTTGGAGTGAGGACCTGGGTTCAAATGTCAGCTTTGCCATTTACTACTTGTGTGATCTTGGACAAGTACCTTCTCATCCTTGGTTTCGTTGTTTGTAAAATGTGGGGTTGGATTAAAGTGACCTCTAAGGTCCTTTCCAGTTCTAAATCTATTGTTCTGTGATCCTGTTATAACAATTCATAGCTCCAAAGTGTTTCCAGCTGTAATTTGTCCTTTGGCTCTCACAAAGACTCTATGTAAGGCTTAAGGGTTGTTTTTTGTAATGTGAATTTTTCCTATCTGGGCCTAGAGATTGGGCTGAATTGTGAGACTAATCTATTCTCAGATTCATCCCATTCCCCAGTGCCCCCCCCACCTTGCTCTTCCTCATAAATATCTGATTGTTATTTTCCTCTGATCTGCTTCTTATTCCTAAAAATAGATTACTCCTCCCCTCCCCCTCCCAGTCCATTTAGTTGGATTTTTGGTGGAGGCTTCCCAGCTCTTCCATCCACTCCCTCACCACTCTGCAGGGCTGCCTTCCCTTCCTGTGATAGGCTGAAGAGGATTTATGACTTCAGAGCCGGGGAAGGTCTCCATCAGAACAGTGATCCACTTCTCTTTTCCTCCAGTTTGCCCCCACCAAGTCCCTAGGGATAGAAATAAACTTACTGATATACCTGTCAGTAGATTAGGGTTTTTCTGGGCTAATCTGTGATAGAACAGATTTATGACTAGATCATGCTTTAATGGGGAGATGGGGGTAGGGGACTCTAGCCTCAACACAGTGCTGGACTGGAACACTGTACTACAAGATCTGGAGAAAACCTTGCTTTAAATGATTGGAGATTTATAGATAAAATGCCCTATTCATTCACATCACAGCATAGCTATTTGATTATAGTTGGATTTTTTTCCTCCCAAAATGACCTCAGACCGTTATTTGTCTTTTGAGAACACCCTTGCAGCTTATATCTACCTAGTGTTTAATTTAGTTTGGAAAGCTCTTTCCTTGAAACAGCTCTGTAAGGTAAATAGTACAGATGAGAAAGGTGCCCTGACTTGCTTGGTGTCCACACAGCTGCTAAGTGTTGCAGCTGTGACGCTCACCAGATCTCCCAACTCCAGGACACCAGGTTGCTGTCTCACTTGTGTCTCCAAGCCTTTCTTTGAGCGTGATCCTCCTGACCTGCAAGTGCTTCTTTTCACTGCATGAAAGGTATGAAGAGGCCTGAATGATGCTAGTCATAGCTCCCCTCCCCCTTGTCCTTCAGTGCTTCTCCCTGGCCCTTTTCCTCTGTCTTCACATTCAGTTCCTGTGTGGAATCTAATGCCTTGCCTATTGCTATTTGCCTTTCCACTCAGTTTTCACTATGATCAAGAGATAAACTCATCATCAAAATAACTTGTTTAGCCCTAACAGCATTATCTCTAATATCCTGAACATTTGTTGTTTGCAATTTGAAATGGAATAGCCAGTGGGTTATTCCCTCTTTACTTTAGTTCTGATATTAAAAGCCTGTGTGACTGTTTAAGAGCTTCCTTTGCCACATTTAAGGAGTTAACTGCCTCTGTTGTAATTATAGTCGTTAAATCATATCTGTCAAATTCACAAGATAATTTATATTTACAATGCTAATACCCCTAGTTGCTGTTTGGGAGTTGATTGATCTCGGTATTGACTTTATATATATTGAAAGCAAGCCTTACTCTATATGTGGCTTTCAGTCAGTAAGGTTTTATTTATCTCCTACTTCATGCCAGGCATTGTGCTAAGCAATAAGGATACAAAGAAAGGTAAAAGGCAAGCCTTGCTCTCATGGAGCTTATATTCGAATGAGGGAAACAATATGCAAATAACTATGTACAAACAAGATGTATACAGAATAAATTGAAAATTATCGGTAGAGGGAAGGCATTTTCACTAAAGGAGATGAGGAAAGGTTTCTAGCAGAAGATAGGATTTTAGCAAGGACTTGAAGGAAGCCAGGAGACAGATATGAGGTGAAAGTATTATAGGCATGGAGAACAGCCAGTGAAAATGCACAGAATTTGGAGATGCAAAGTCTTGTGCAAGGAACAGCTAAAAGGCCAGCAAGGTATAACAAGACTGGAAAGGTTGGAGGGTGCCAGGTTGCTGAGAACTTTGAATGCTAGAGGATTTTATATTTGAATTCTGGAAGTGATAAGGAGCCACTGGAATTTAGTAAGTAGAAAAGTGACATGGTCAGATCTAGGTCTTAGAAAGATTAATTTGACAGCAGAATGGAGGATGGACTGAAATGGGGAGAGGCTTGAGGCAGGGACACCAACCAACAGGCTATTGCAACAAATAGTCCAGGTCTGAAGTGGTAAAGTGCCAGGGTAGTGGCAGTGTCAGAAGAGAGGAGGAGGTTTATATGAGAGATGTTAAAAAGTTAAAATCAACAGATCTGGCGATAGGTTGTCTTTATGGGGTTAAAGAGAGTGAGGATCTGGTAAACACCTTTGCTGTGAGCCTGGGCTGCTGAGAGATGGTGCTCTCTGCTGTAATAGGGAAGTTTGGAAGGTTTGGGGAGAGATGAGTTCATTCTTGGACTTGTTGAGCTAAGGCAGGGGTGGGGAACCTGTGACCTGGAGGCCACATGTGACCTCTAGGTCCTCAAGTTCAGCCCTTTGATTGAATCCAAACTTCATCCCTGGTCTAAGGCGTCTAGTTTGAGAAGTCTCAAAGGCAGTTGGAGATGCAAGATTGGAACCTGGAAGGCACATTAGAACTGAATAGGTAGATCTGGGAATCATCAGCATAGAAATGATCATTGAAACCATGGGAGCTGATGAGATTCCCCAAGCAAAATAGCCTAGTGGGAGAAAAGAAGAGGGTATAGGTTAGAGTTCTAGGGAAGACCACCTTTAATAGCTATGATCTGGGCAAAGATTCAGCAAAGGAGACTATGAGTGGTCAGACATATAGGCTAAGAACCAGGATAGAGAAGTGTCACATCACAGAAGCCTATGAGAAAGAGGGTATCAAGAAGATAATCAACAGTGACTTTCAAAGGTTTAGCACAAAAGTGCCTGAGTCAGTCAATCATTGAGCATTTATTATGTATTTACTGTGTACCAGGCACTCCATTAGACACTGAGAATACCAAGACAAAAACAAAATATGCCCAGCTTGTCAGAGCTTATGCCTTCAGCAATTGGGGATAATCTCTATACCTTAGTGAGGCTTTAGAGGGTGACATTATTGGAATAAGACAGTATTTAATTTAATTGAGTGATAAGTTGGGTGCTATAGAAATTCATAGAAGGGAGAGATAACTCTATGATTTATAGAGGTCAGAAGAGGAGGAAGTGGGACTTGAGCTGAGTTTTGAAGGGTTCCTAGGATTTAGAGCGCTGAAAAAGAAGACATAGATATAAGCATGGTATGT